AATTCCGAGTTCTCTTGGGAAAAAATTTTTAAACAAGTCTCAAAAAAGACTTCAAAAAACATGTACTCAAGAAATAACACACATAAAAAGTACCTTGAAATTGTCACAGTGTCTGAAAAAGATTACTCACTGACTACATTTGGAAAATGTACACAATCTTCTGTTATATTTTAACTATTTAACTAACAATAGCACTTACTATGAGCCGGACTTTTCTAAATTCCTTTCAAATGACAACTATTTTATCCTCACAGAACCCTGCTAGCTTCTCTTAGAAAGGAGAAGTCTGAGGCAGAGGGAGATGGAATAATGGGTGATAGGACCAAGACTCAAAAAAGCAGTCACAGGAGCACCTGATTCTGCTTCTAAGAATTACTCATATTTTAAATTTTCTAAACCAAGTAACCAAAAAGGTGAAATGAAGAACTTTAAATGGTCTATGCATAGAGAACTGGGGGTTTACGGTTGTATCAAGGTGGGCTCACGTCTTCTATTATACAATGCATTGGGTATCACCTAAAAAGGTACAGGTAAATCATTCAAAATAATATGCTCACTTATTTAAATGGGAGATATTAAGGGGCTGAAGAATAACAGAAAGTTTTTCCAAAATTATCCTCTTTGCCATGATTCTAATAACTAGAGAATTATTTCAGTTAACAACATCCCCTCTTAAGATATAAATACCATCTTGGGTCTAGGTCAACTATACCATAGCATAGTTTTAATTAGACCAATAATTAGCTGAGAATAGTCTCAAATTTTATAATATTCTATGAAAAGAGAATACTATATCAACTCATGAGTGGATCCAACAATCACATGATCCATGATTTAAATTCTTCAGAAAGACAAGTTTGACTTCAAAATTTCCTGGAGGAATTTTTTTAAGCTATAAGGAGGCTAAAAAAAATGTGTGGAATTTGAAAACCTCCGTTCTAACCTTATCCCTAACCCCAACCCTATCTCTATCCCTAACCCTAAGCTTATTTGACCTACTGCTCCTTTTCACAGGGGAAAAAAATCACTCAGAGCCCCAATCCAATCTATCTTCTTTAAGAAACTCCCCTCAAATGCCCTACTGTTCTTTGGATTCTTCCAACACCACCAGCCTCCCATGGGGGAGGGGCAGTACCACCCACGATGGTAAACACTAGTTCTTGTCAATCAGGGTAGAATGCAAGTCATAATTTAAAAGTCAAGAAACTTAGAAGAAGGAAGATTAATTTTGGCAAAATGGCTAGTCCAGTATGTCCAAAATATTGTCATTTTAACATTCACACAATAATAAAAATTGACGTGATATTTTACATTTTTCCTTTCGTGTTAAGATATCAAAATCCACTATGAGATTTGCTTTATTTGAGGGGAAGGTTGAGCCACATCCGGTGGTGCTCAGAGCTTACTCCTGGCTCTAGACTCAAGGATCACTCCTGACAGGGCTCTGGGGACCATTTGTGTTGCGGGGAATCAAACCTGGGTCGGACAACTGGAAAGCAAATGCTTACTTGCTTTCTGTTGCTTTCTGTTTCGTGCTATTTCTTCATCCCCTTATTTTGCATTTTAAACTTACCTGACATTGTTCATAATGACCTCATCTTGAATACTCATGAATAGTATTCAATAGTCACCATATTTGACAGCCAGAGTCTGGACTTAAAATAACGAGAATAATGTTAACATATTAAAGCATTGTTATATGCTGTTGTTTTCAAACAACAACCAAACAAGCAATCTGTGATTTCACCAACAAAATGATTTTATTCATTAAATATTCAGAAAAAGGGGCTGGAGCGATAGCACAGCGGGTGGGGTGTTTGCCTTGCACGCAGCCGCTCGGGTTCAATTCCCAGCATCCCATATGGTCCCCCCAGCACCGCCAGGAGCATTTCCTGTGTGCATGAGCCAGGAGCAACCCCTGTGTAATGCCGGGTGTGACCCAAAAAGAAAAAAAAAATCCAGAAAGAAAGCAATTTGAAAAGTGCAGCCTCATGGTAGGACCACACACATTTCTTAGGAAAAAGTCAGTACCCATTTATGTAGCTTTTGGGGTTATTGCTGAACATAGATGTGTCTTCTGTTTCCACTGTGGGAAGGAAGCAGCATCACCTCTACTGTGAGATACAAAATGTTCGTTGGTTGTACGTGCATGGAAAATCTCTCAGAACTTCTAACTTCAACTTCATTTAAAGAGGGTTTCGGGGCAGAGGAGATGGCTCAGTTACTAGGAGTGCATGCTTTGCCTGTGTCAGATTTGTAATTCCAACAACAGCACCTCTGAACCCCTAAGCATCTCTGGGAGTGATCCTTGAGACCCCTGATTATTTTCAGGGTATCCCTGGTGGTCCCCAGCACTCTAGAGCCAGAGCTGCACCGTATCCTTGGTATCTACCATTGACCTAACTGACCCTATGAGGCCGGATATTTGTCAGGGATGGCCTTCCAGGCTTCCATGAGCATGATTTATGAGACCCCCCTCAAATACAATAACATAAAATTAATAAAGGAATGAACTAGAGTTTTTGCATATTAATTTTCCATTTCAGACCATTACTCAGATAAGCATTTGCGAGCATTATGTGCATTATGGATACCAGCTTTTCTGCAACTCTTTAGACCATTATTGTCATCGCTCCCATCTTATATAAGACATAGGTCATGCCAAAGCCCTCTATAGAGTTCCTATTAAAACCCACTTTAATACAAATATTTCTCAGTTATCTTAAATCAAGTCATATCTTAAAAAGAATATAAATAAAAACATAATGACAGAATAATATTAGTGCCATTCTTAAGACACTAAGAGTTTATAAAGATATAGGAGTTGGATAACTAGAAAAGGCGAAATGTCCTATCCTCTGACCTTGTCACAGGCCTATGGTACAACTCACACTTCTCTGAGACATCAAGTCTGTTGGAATGTTTGGGATTCTTGGGGACAAAGGAAGCTGGGGAGTCATATGGTAGCAGGATTTGCTCTGACTGGAAGTAGCTTGCAGGGTCACAAGCTGTTCAAGTGACATAAAGTGATGCAAATAATGAGGCCAGGAGCTCCTTTCAGTATTGATGGAGAAATGGGCCTTTGGAATTTGAAGATAATGCTTGATTGGGTATTCACAGAGTTAATCTTTTCATTAACTTCCACTGTTTCTCAAGGAAGGCCGAATTTCAAATGTACTTTTTTAATAAAAATGATTTGAAAGAGGGAAAAGTAAAAATAATTAAAAATTTTTTTTCTCAGCAAAAACCTCCAATTCCCCCCCCCATATCTACCATTAATCTTTGTGGCGAAATAAGAATAAAGATCTTGTTTCGATCTGTCAATTGCATACAAACACCTTAAAACATGCTAATTTTGCTTGGCACCTGAAACAAAAATAAATGAACAGAAAATGCATATTTTGCTACTGTTCCCTGTTTTAATCTTCTTTAAAAATAAAGCTAACCTTACTTTAAATTTATGAGTCAACACTCAAATTCAGTTGTAGTCTTCTTTTTAAAAATCTATACACCTGTGTCGTTTTCTCATGTAAGTATACTTAACTGAAGAATTTCAGTGTGAAATCGTCATGTAACCTTTGTTTTTCAGCTGTGCTTTTACATAGCATTTATAACCCTCAATTTCTTTGTAGTCAGTTCCAGTTTCTTTTTATTTTTTTTAATTGCAAGAGAAAAATCAGGCTTGGTCTGAACGTCTAGCAACTGACCTTCATATTTTAATTATAAAATATATGAAGGTGGTTTTTTAATCTCTGAGATCAGAGACTCTTCTCCTACTCCCTTTCACCTCTGGGCAGTTCTTTCTTATTGCTTAAGCTTTCTCTTTGTTATGGGGGAAAGGTTGCTGAAAGGACTCAGAGGTTTTGTCAACATAAAATACAGGCTTTTATAAAAACACCAAAGTGTTTCAGTGGTGGTTAAGAAGTAACTCGTTTTCCTTGTTAGGGATATTGTAAAAGGCATAAAGGAGCAGTGGAAGCCTGAAGTCCCATCTGATGGCCCACAGTACCTTCCTTGGGTCAGAGTAGACACAGCTGAGGTGGATGTTTGGTCTCCTGGTGTGAACAAAGCTGTTGCCATAGTTTGTAATAAATTCCGACTTCCCTCTTCACACTTGTTGCATATGTGTGAGCTGGAAAGCTTCCAAGAGCACTTTATTTTGCTCACCAGTGTGTTCTGCCATATATAATCCAGTAGGCTCAGAAGCGGTTGCCCCACCATGACTGTCAAATAAATGAATGAAGACAGCATCTGGTGATTTGTCTATAATTGTAGAAACAAAGTGAGAACTCTAAGATGAGCGCTCATGGTGAGTGACCCAGTCTGTGAGGTTTCTTCGTTGCTCTGGGGGCAGGAGGAGCAGAGATTTAGTGTCTGTCTGCATCATGTCACTGAATGGTCCCCAGTCTCTGCCAACAGATAAGAAATGTCAACAGCTTGACCCGGGAGGGTTCAAAAATAGCGTATTGATGAAACTGGAAATCTAGGTGTGCACTCAAAATAAACCATTTGTCTTCGGTCTTAAGAGGCTACACTGGCAGCAGATAGCTCTGTCAGAAAGGCTTAAAATATTTGCTTAAAGATCCGTAGAAGTGAGCAAGTGTTGGAAGAAAGTCTGGCAGTCGGGCAGAATCAGACCATTTCCTTTTCAATGAATCAGGTAAATGACTTGAAAAGATTGTGACTAGGCGTCGTGTTTCTTTAAGAGTCCTGTCAAGTTGTGTTTTGTTTCCCAATCATGCTGGCAGTTTTCCTCACATTTTAAATGAATATTTGAACAGTGAACCAAGTTGTTGAGGGTTTCCTGGTTTGTGCCCCCCCCCCAACACTCCCCCTGGGGGGTGGGGGGGAGGCGTGGCAATTCAGGCTCAGCTTCTAGCAGGCCACTCACTGCTGTGAAAGCTGAAAATAGCTCAAATGCACTCGGAACAGTAGCACCACCCAGCAGCTGGGATTCTTTCCCTCACTGATTTGCCTTCTCTCTTGCCTTTTTGCTTCAGACACTTGGATTGAACTTAATCTTAAACCTCTGGAGTTCAAGACCTTTTAAAAAAGGGCTAAATAAACAATTTCTACATGTAAAAGGCCACTGACTCCTGCTTCCTCTGTTTGGAGCAGCAACTGTGGAACCCAGCTGCCTGCTGTCCTTAGGTAAGATTTTTATTCTGCAGTAATTTCATCGGTTTCCAAAATGTTTCTGCCTCACATTGTTTTACATAATGTATTTGGAGTGAAAACAAGTGTATGTGTGTGGGGGGGGGAGGGCTGAGGGGGGGATGCGCTTGATTTCTAGGTGGGCTGCAGGGGATAGCGGGCATCTGTGTGCTTGGGGACTTTGGTTTTCAGCTCTGCTGAAAGCTCTGTGAGGCGAGAACCTGCGCGACAGACCCGCCTCCTACTCAGGGGTGCATTGAACTCTAATTAAGCCTGATTGTCAGACCAGTGAGAGGATCTTTCAGACATCCTCATGGGGCTGTTTAGACTGCTTACTTATTTTTAGCTTTCCCAGAGCATTTGTTTTCTTTTTCAAAGGACAAAGAGGCGACCACCTGAACACATATTAGCAATCCTCCTTTAGAGACAGAAAGACAGCGCCTTTTCATGGGACTCTCCTTTCATTATAGTTTTCTTCCTTGCTATGCGGAATGAGAAGATTTTTTTTTTGGTTGTTATTTCTTAAATGTTTGTTGTATATTCTTAGCACCAGGTAAAAGCTGAATTTTGAGCAATCTATGATTTCTAGCTGAATGATTTCTGCTTGCCAGACTCCATGGTGTGATTATATCCCGATTGGAGCAGTCTCTGTCCACCCACCCGCCCCCACCCCCCTTCCCCAGCTTGCACTGGACAAAGTACTTTGATCTGTGGACTTTAACTTCAAACACAGCATTTACTTTGATTGTGGATATTTACTGTGTTCTGTAAAAGTTGATGTTTTGGTGTTGTTCCTCTTGGTTTAATAGTTTTTTATATCATTTCCTTTAAATATTCTATTGGGCTTTGATTTTTCTTCACTGATGTCTAAATTTTTCCTTGTTCGGGGCACCCTGCTCTGACCTCCAAATGGAAGGAAAAGACTTTGATGATGGGGTTCTTTCCCCATATAGACTTTATGATAGTTCTCTGCTCCCCTCTTGCACATGCCTAAAAGCAAGCGCCAAATGACAATCCACAGAACACTATTCTGTCAACCGCTCCCTTGAGTGTCCCACTGTCTCCAAATTACCATGTGCCTTGAGGCCTAACTGTTGCTTTCTTAACATGGAAACTGAAATGCTTGGAATTTAAAGATTCTTATTTCCAAAGAAGTTTATAGCTATCATTGACCACATGTCAAAAGAAAACAAGCATTTTAAACACGGAGTAATCTTCTGCGGAACTTTTTTTTTTTAAAAAAAAGGAAATAGAAAAATTAAAAGAAAGAAAAGTTGCTATATTAGTAAAAAAAAAAGAAATATAAGTTTTTTAAAGGAAAACTGAAAAAAAGAAAGAAAAAGAAAACCCCTGTGTAGCCAAATCTGTCAAACTAATGAAACGTCTGTTCTATGATAAGAAACTGGTGGGTTGGGGGGAATTTTGGAATATTTTCTAAAATAGGCAAAGCATTGCATTGTCTTCATCTAGCCATTCATTCAACTTTTAAATGTAGTTTTGTTATTAATAAAGTATGCTATTATCACATTGGTTTGTCCCCCTTTTCCCCCTAAGCAGAAGGTACATTCAAAGCCCTTTGGCAGACTCTAACTTTGCTAGTCCCTGCCAAACTATCTCTGCACAGTCTGTTGAAGGTTAGAAACAGAATGAGTTTAATCCTGTTAGGGGAGTGTTTAAATCTCAGTCAAAGGCTTCTCTGAGTTGACAGCCTCCTCCCTGTGCTCTGTACCTTGCTAAGAAGAAAGGGAGGAAGCTGGTGCTCCTAAAGAAGTTTCCAGAGAGGTGGAGCTGTGGAGAACGCTATGACAAGTCTCCCTATTTCTGAGCAGATGCACATAATTGCCAAAATGGTGATGAGGACTAAAATTTGACTTATATATAGAAAAACCTAGACTGGGTTCACTAATTTTTTTTCACTTCCCAAACTTAGACACATTATTGCTACTACTTTGCCCACAATGAATTTGTGTTTTTAAGGAGCATAATGATCATCTTCATATTTCTGTGATATATGCAGTCAAAAAAATATTTCAATCCTCTAGTTCTTGGGGCATGTCAGAGTTCACGGCCTTTGGAGATCTAGGATGTCCTCTAAGTTAACACTAGGGTGACATTGCTGGGTGTGAAAGTATTGATTGTTAAAGGCAAAACAAGTCCATTGGCAGAACCAAAAGGCTCCAGAGTTTGGAAGATGGTGGGCAGCCATTCCGCTCCATCCAATCCTAGGCTCGATCTTGCTCCTTTGTTGTTTTTTGGTTTGTTTCTCTTCACCCTTTAATTTGACTCTGAAACTTTGGATTGTTTGAATGTGAAACTCAAGGTGAAAGCTAGCCAAAGCCACTGAGTTTCACACGGGTTCCACATGAAAGAAGTATTCTATCCAACCTTGCTCGAAACTTGGCCCGTGGTTTGCCAAAAGTTTCATGAATGTCAGTGAGCCTGGATTTGAAACATAACCCAAAGTCAGGTGACTCCTGGCAACTTTGAAGCTTTACTGTATAAGTAGGGATTCTGTGGGACAAGGGTACCCCTGCTTGTCTCATCTTCTGCTGTGATTTCACATATCAACCCCCCCTCTTTTTTTTTTTTTATAAACTCTCACCAGTTCTCTGATATTTTAAAATCAGGCTCAACACTAACATGAAATTTTTATGGCCATGGTATTTAAGCATTGGCAACCAGAAGACTGCATTTTAAATTCCAACACAGTCTGAACTGCTGTGGTGTGAACATGTTGGGATAATTCAAGTGAAGGAAGGAAGTCCCAGGAGGGTTATGGAATGCCTTTCTTTGCTTAAATATACCTCTATGCTTGTGAGGAACAAACAGTAACATTTTGTCCAGGTCTGTCCACTTGACAGTGTGCCTTTTGTTCATGCTCCAATGGTGGTGTCAAATATATTGGTGGAAAAATAATAAACTTCTAGATTTTTTTTTTGGCCAGCTCAACCAATATACACGTAGGGAACATTGTAAGCATTGAAAAATTTAGTACTATTACTTGTAGAGCAATGTATAGTGAAAATAAAAAAGTCCATTTCCTTCAGGAAAGTTTGGTGACCTGAAGCTAATAGGTATGTTAACAGGCAATTCTGGCCCGGTTATAATTCAGAGGTGTGTGTGTGTGTGTGTGTGTGTGTGTGTGTGTGTGTGTGTGTGTGTTTTGTAGAGAGAGAGAGAGGAAGCAGAAACAGTAGAAAGCTTACAATTTGTAAGCTTTGTTCAGCAAATCTGTCACATCTAAAACAAAATAATCAAGCTCGGGATCTGAAAACATTCCATTCTTTTTGTTTATCATATTGACTGAACACAGAAATTTTTTGATGTTATTTTTTTTCCATTTTAAGATACTAAGGGCTATAATTTAATCATTATCTTGCAGAAACAGTAAATAAGGAGACTCACTGGTTTTTGAACCATACCCAGTGGTAATTGGGGCTTATTCCTGGCTTTGTACTCAGAGGTCACTCCTAGCAGTGCTGGCACAGGGAGCATATGCCGTACTAGACATCAACCTCTGACTGGCCACATGCAGAACAAGCATCCTATCTACTGTACTATTTCTCCATGGCCCAAGTGAATATAAAATTCTGTCATCAAGCCTTCCACTTATTATGTGCAAAAATTCAACTATGCTGATTTAAGAGCCTGGTGTGAGAATCAAATAGCAGCCCCAGATAATAACACTTGATAGAAGAAGGTGGACAATGCATAGACCACGGTGTTCTCACAGAACTGGATGGGAATCAGAAGTCTATGGCGTACTAGAAAATTAGAAATGTTATTGCTCTGGTAAATACTGGAATTGGGGTCAGGTAGGGGAAGAGAATAATCTTGAGTAAAGAATCAGAGGACAGAAAACTTAATATTTGAGAATATCTAGTTGTCTGGTATGGGGAATTCTTTGGTTTGATGAAAGTTCTTATGGGAAGGTGTGTTGGTTGGGCTTCATTTATTGAGGGAACATTTTCACTATTAGGTTCATATTGGGGTTAAAGGGGTTGTTGTTGGTTGTTGGTACTGTTTTATTGTTGGGTTTTTGTTTTTAAGGGAGAGAGGGTTGGGTCACTCCCAGCAGTACTAAAGACTTATTCCTGGCTCTGCATTCTGCACTCAGGGATCACTTCTGGAGGGGAACAGGGGACCATATGGGACTGGGGATTGAATCCTGGTCAGCTATGTACAAGGCAAGTGCCCTACCCTCTCCAGCCCACAGGCCCATACGTTTGTAAAATCTCTGATCAATTCTTAAAGTCATTAGAGAAATGAATGATTAGAGAAATGATTTGCTCAAGCGGGTCCAGTAACATTGTGAGACTTACTGTTACTGTGTTTGGCATATCAAATTTGTCACGGGTAGTTTACCAGGCTTTGCCCTGCGGGCAACATACTCTCGGTAGCTTGCCGGGCTCTCCGAGAGGGGCGGAGGAATCAAACGGGTCCGGCCAGGTCTGCCGCGTGCAAGGCGAACGCAATACCTGCTATGCTATTGCTCCAGCCCTCGAACAGACCTAAATAACTGTATTCTTATTGTTTCACATTCTATAATTCTGTTGATTTCCTTGAACACATATTTTAATGTAAGGCTGTATTGCAAATAACGGGGCAATCAAGAAGAATCAAGTTAGCAATGACACCTTTTAATAAAATGATGTATTTTCTCAGGAAAGATCAATTCAGTATTAGAAAGAATAGAACAGAGATGTTTAACTCATTTCTAAAGATAGGTTTGGGCATAAAAATAAATTAAACAGTATCATGGAAAAAATACATGTGTAACCTGTGTTTTTCAGACATTGCATTTTGGTTATTTTGATTCGTGGCATATTGTTTCAAGCATAACTTTTGAATTGGTTTAATTCTAGTGTAGTCTTTGCTTTTGACATGCTTTCAACTCAGTGTTCTTTATTTTATTCATTTTTGCAAACCTAAGAAATTTGGTTGGTTTCAAATTTAGCTACAAATATTATTCATAAATTTTGTGTTTATTTGACCTG